TGAGAAAAGGAGAGAAACATCGATCAGTTGCCTCTCACAGATGCCCAGATCGGAGACTGAACCTGTAACGCAGGCATGTCCAACCTTTCACTTTGCAGGATGAGGCCCAACCAACTGAGCCACATTGGTCAGGGGTTCATGCTATTGTCTTTTAAAGGTAAATGAACTATAATTAATTTTTTAAAGATTTTATTTATTATTTATGGAGAGGGGAAAGGAGGGAGAACGAGGGAAATATCAAGAGAAAAACATTGATCGATTGTCTCTCACACACATCCTTATTTTTCTCTTAATATTAAGTTAGCTCCATCTGCTGAAGACTTCATCTTATGAGACTTCATAAGGTCTCTGGAGAAACAGCACCATCTGCTGGGCAAAGGCTGCTGTGCACCTGTCTTAGCACTAGAGCAGCGGCCCTCAACCTTTCCTTGTACAACTGTAAACTGGACACCAGTTAAGCTTAGCAACTAAGGCCAGCCTTCCAAAAAACCAAACAGGAGGCTCTGCTACTCCAGAATTGCTAGTAATATTAGAGAAGCCCCTTTGAGGCTTTTCTTCTAAGAAACAAACTTGGGTTTTGACGCAAGACTAGAAATCAGTGCCATTGTGGCAGAGAGCACAACTGAGGTAGATCTGTATTAACCGACAAAAATGAAAAGGGCCACGTCTTCAAGAGTCCTTTATTCCCTGTATGCTCTGCAAACAGGATGCTGAGGAAACTTAGTGCCTTTATTCTTTTTTGGGAAATTCTAGGTTAGATTTTTCCTCCGTCCCTTACTAAGGACCATGAATTTATCCAGATTTACCTCCTAGCTCACTACCCACTTTCTAGTCATTTTTCTTCATGACCAATGTCCTTTACAACTCAAGGATCTTTCTAAGATCCTTTCCTATCACACTGTGAATGAGTTTCTTAGGATCTTAAAAATAGTTCCCCCATCTTCCCTCTTCCTTTCACAGCCCTCTTCGACAAACTAAATTTGTTATTGCAAGTTTGTCTTAAATTTTTAATCTATTTATGTCCTCAATTAATCATTATAAACTAGTTTTTCTGGTACTCTTTATCATAGACAGTAAATTCCTGTTACTGTAGGCCAAATGTTTGTGTACCCCATAAATACATATATTGAAATCTAACCCTCAAGGTGATATATTTGTCTGAAAAGTATGTATATTCTGCTGCTTTGGGTGAAATGTTCTGAAGATATCAATTAAATCCATTTGGTCTAGCATGTCGTTGAAGGCTGCTGTCTCCTTGGTGATTTTCTGTCTGGAAGTTGTATCCATTGAAGCCAAATGGGTATTAAAAGCCCCGACTATGATCGTATTGCTATCATCTCTCCCCTTTATGTCCATCAAGACTTGCTTTACATATTTAGATGCTTCTATGTTGGGTACGTAAATAGTACTAGGGTCATATCCTCTTGTTGAATTGTTCCCTTTATCATATGTAGTATCCTATGTCTCTTACTATAGTCTTGATATTAAAGTCTATTTTGTTGGATATAAGTATTGCTACCCCAGTTTTTCTTTTTTCTTTCCATTTGTATGAAATATCATCCCTTTACTTGGTGTATCTTTTGATCTGAGGTGGGTCTCTAGGAGGCAGTATATATATAGGTTTTGTTTTCTTATCCATTCAACTACCCTATGTCTTTTGGTTGGAGCATTTAAGCCATTTACATTTACGATGATTATTGATAGATACACATTTAGTGCCATCTTGTTAGACTATTTTCCTGTTTCTCTTTTTCTTCTTAACGTAAGCCCTTTAACATTTGTTGCAGTACTGGTTTGGTGCTAACAAACTCCTTTAGCTTTTTCTTGTCTGGGAAACTCCTTTATTCTCCTTCAATTTTAAATGATAGCCTTGTTGGGCAAAAGTAGCCTTGGTTGTAGGTCCTTGCTTTTCATCACCTTGAATATTTGACATCACTCCCTCTGGCCTGAAATGTTTCTGTTGAGTAATCGGATGACAGTCTCATTGGTGCTCTCCTGTAACTAGCTGCTTTGCTCTTGTGGCTTTCAGAATTCTCTCCTTATCGTTATGTCTTGCCATTTTAATTACGATGTGTCTTGGTATAGCCCTCTTTGGGTCCAACTTGTTTGGGACTCTGAACTTCTTGGACTTAGGTATTTTTCCTTCACCAGATTAGGGAAGTAGATCTACAAGACTCTGGTACACACTTAAGTCAAACCTTGCCTGTGACTGGCCCTGGGCAACCTGTTTGGAGCTATCAGCAATCCACAGTGTGTACTACTTTCTGCTAGGCTTGGGTGTGTGCAAAAAGAATGAAGCTACCCACCAAGGATGGCTTTTATGAGCACCAGGCCTGGGGGAGGGTCAGCTGGTCTCAGAGCTCCCAGTGATCTGCTTCTGCCTACTGGCTTTCTGTAGGGTTAATCAGTGAATGTCTTCCAGCTGTACTTCTCAACAGCCTGGCTTAAGCACCACAGGGTGGGGCAGTGTAATTCCTGTGGGTGGGGCTATTGCTTCCCCTCAGGCTAATGCCATACAGAGGAGTGGTCTGCCTGAGAAAGATGGCTCCTGCAGTATGGGGAATGGCTCAGCACAGGGACCCTGGTGGCTGTTCCTTCAATTCTCTCCACAGAGCCACCAGCCCCAGACTCTCCTCACATGTTTCTAGTCCACTCTGCCCTCCCTGTGCTGGAGCCCAGGGTAGGTGGCTGCAATCAAAATTTGGTGTGTTGACCCTTTAAGAGTATCTCTGCATCTCCAGCTGTCTCTCCCTAGTGGACAGAAATCCTGCTGCTTTTCAGAGCTATTATTTGGGTTTTTCCCAGCTCTGGTGCTGTAGGGCTGGGGAGCCCAGCTTGGAGTTTAGCCCCGATACTTCTTGGGGAGAATTCCCCCGTGTGTTGTGACCAATCAAGGCTGGACAGATTCATGGGATTCGTGCATATGGAAGAATATTCAGAGCTGTTGGGATGTCTGACATGCCTTTATTCAAGGGTGGATGACCCATGCACACTGCAAGTTGTGTGTCACACTGCACGTCACCTGTCCCTTCTGTGGGACACCCAGTGTGGGTCCTTGCATTCCCCCTGCATGTCTATGTCTGCGCCCCCAGTGAGAAGCCCCTATCTTCTTAAGTACTAAAACAAAGCAAGCCGGCAGGGTGCCAACAGACCTTACGCAACAGAGCTTCATACCACACATGTGAGCCCAATCAAGGCTATGGGAACAGTTTATTGGACTGAGACTTGAGGCTGTGAGACCCCATGTCAAGGCTATGAGAACACTACTTTATCAGACCCCTTCAAGGTTGTGAGAAACTGCTTCCCTTAGCTACCCAGACACCTGGGTGACAAAGCCAGACTGCCTCCATTTACCCTACACCCAGACACTGAAATATCCTTCCAGCACTTCAGCTGCCTTCCGTGGAAGTCCAGCCCTCTCACATCTCCTCCATACTCCCTACCAGTCTCCTTACAGCGATGTGGCTTCTTCTATACCTCTGTGGTTATAGGCTTCTCTCCAGCTAGTGGCCAATTGGTTATTTGGGATGGTTTTTCTATAATTTAGTTATAATTCCAGTTTGGTACTGGGAGGTTAGTGTAGCTTTCACTTACTCCTCTGTCATTTGGGTCCTCTACATCAAGGGGATACATTTGGAAGTAGTGCCTTTGGGAGACCTTGGCAGAGCCCTCATGAACGGGATTAATACCTTTATAAAACTCAGGAAAGCTCCTTTGTCCCTTCCACCATGTGAGGTTACAAAGAGAAAACTTGTCTATGAGGAACTGGGTTCTCATTAGACATTGTGTTTGCCAGCAACATGATTTCAGACTTTCCAACTTTCAAAACTGTAAGAAATAAAATTATATTGTTAATAAGCCACCCAGTGTCTGGGATTTTGCTATAGCAGCCTGAATCCACCTCTCCAACTCAATTCTCCATTCTCTAGATACTGAGTACCCTCCTTTCCTTTAAATTCCTTTCTAATCCAGACCCTGATGCATAATTTTCTCTCATTTTTCCCATACTTTTCTAATTACTCCTTTACTATAAAAGAGCTACCTTTTTCTGTCATCTTCCCATGAGTTTTTTCAGAAATTGTGTGAAGTTCAGCCTTTTATTACCATTTATGGTTTTACCATCATTTGCAACTCACTCCTATTTCTAAGATTTACTTACCCTATTTTGCCATGCATAATGCGCACTTTTTGCCCAAATTTTTGAGGGAAAAATAAGAGTGCCATTATACATGGGTAGTACTAATTCCATATCTCTATGACTGTTTTTAATTATTTTATTTATGCTTATGCTTTAAAAGTGTAACTCCTTTAAAACTTTTATAATACAAAAGTATCTAAATATAAATAAATAAATAATTGAATTTAAAAAATTAAAACAAGAATTTTTTTCTTGAAAGTTTGGGCCAAAAAAGTGGGTACGTATTATACACAGGAGCACCATTATACATGGTAAAATATGGTATATTCATTTCCCTTATACTACTCTTCTGTATTTCCATTGTCCTTCTATAGTCCTTTGATTTATTAATTAGCTACCAGAAGTTGAAAATTATTAACATAAAAATCTTTTATATTCCCTTTCCTTCATATTTGCAGAGCTACTTCCTTTTCCTTATTCAAAGTGTTCCCAAAATTATTTCTCCAGGATTCATTAGTTTTTCTTAATTAGGAGAATAATGGCCTCTTGCGTTCTTCAAGCATATAACCTCAAATATGAGTCTCAAGACCTCAAATATGAATCTCAAGAATCGAAGAAATTGTATTCATAACCTAAATGCTGATATCCAAATGAAATACAACCAATGAGGTTAGCCATATATTTATACATAAATCAAATAATCATTAATGATTTTCTAATGACACTCCATTAACACACACACACGATTAAGACAAAAACTAAATTTTTCATTTTTCTCAATCTCTACGGCTTCTTTTGATTATAGCAGTAGGAGGTGTAGTTCAGGGACCTACATAAAACTGAGTGAAGAAAACGTTTTTATTAATCAAAACATGAAATTAACATGACATCCCATTAGAATTGAACCAGGAAAAATGATGCTGCTATAAAATTTTATTTCTCACATCCATTTCAAGGAAAATAGTACATAGTAGAATTCTTCTAGGTCTTATATAAAACTGATTTCAGTCAAGTTTTTTTTTTAAATAGTAAACAGCATTAACATATATTCTCAAACTGTGCTAAGGAGGAGTTAGAAAGGCAACTATGAAATCTATAGCACTAACAACTGGTAGGATTAGAACTGCTTTCTTAAGAATGTTAAGATGTTAGGAACCACATTTCCATTGTACCTGTTACATCAGTGCACCTTTTTCACTGATAAGGCAACTGAGGATGCCACAATGATTTGCAAGTTTTTTAAGTAACAGATGTTTGATCAGGACGCAGATAAGCTTCCTTTCCCAATTTTGTCTCTTTTGGAGCATAAACAAGAGACAAATAAATTTGTCTTTTGTATGTAGGCAGCTAATATTTTGAAATTCAGCTGCTGTAATCTTCTAATTCATAATTGAAAGAGGGCTGAATTATTATTAGGAATAAGTCTTTGAAATACTTCCATTTTTTAAAATACCAAGGCTTTTGAATAACTTCTCAAACCTGTCTTTCCACTTTAATACATAACTTGATAAATATAACACACTGGATGTATTATAGTAACTTCTTCTCTCAACTACATTTTGCCCTCAGTAAGTGTAAGAGTTGTAGTTTCAAACAATTTTTACATATAAAGCATCTTTAGTTTCCTTTTCACTGAACTGAGATTTTCCCTCCACTTCTGTGCTTGTGAGAGGTAATCTGAACATACGCATAATATACTTGCATACATAAAAGTTACTTTTACCATTAGAATAAAACTAGACTTCACGGACAACTCTGTGAAGATAGTCTGGACTTCCTTAGAAGTCCTCCTCTAGGTTGAGGAAGGCAGGTGCAGTTCACTGAAGGATGTGATGAGGCTGTAGTAAGTCTTTTCATCATCTGTTAGTCCTGCATTGCCAGGTCTTACCACCACAGCTACATGTACGTCTGCTTTCTCAGCAGCACTGGCCTCTGAAAAATCAAAATATATGTCAGAAATGTCAAAATATGATCTCTGAGATTTGCTTCAAAATAATCAGGGGATGTGGGAATGTAAGAAACAAGTTTGGCACTAATCAGATCATTGCTGAAACTAGAAGATAGGTGCATGGGTGTTGACTATATTATTTTCTCTTTTAAATAATTTTTAATTTTTCCATAATAAAAAAATTGAATATATAATTGTACTTGACAGATTAGAATGGCAATATATCCAAACTTCTGAGTTTTATTAAGTACATATGAATGCAGTAAGACAGGATCATGTTCTATCCACAACTTTCCTCTATTTCCTCCCATTAGCCCTACAAGAACTGAGCTATTTTCCACAGGGCAGCCTGTTAGGAAAAATACCAATTAAGTAGATATAGGACAAATGGAATCCTAGGACCTAATCAGGCCAAATACCTGCTTTCACATCTGGAGCACAAATGTGTCATAACCCCTAACTAGACTGCCCATCTCCTTTTGCCTCACAAATTCCCACTCTTTGAAATTCAACTCAAATATCTCATCTTCCAGAAGCACAATTACCACGTCCTATGTGCTCCTTTAACACCCTGTATTTAGTTCCATCACAACAACCAGACTTGGCAGTTATTATCCATTGTCTCTCTCTCTTCCCTCAATATAATGTGATCAGTGACTGCATGGTGGGTAGAAATAAAAATAGGACTAGTAGCCCTGACTGGTGTAGCTCAGTGGATTGTGTGCCGGACTGCAAAGCAAAAGGTCATTGGTTCAATTTCCAGTTGGGGCATATGCCTGGGTTGCGGGCCAGGTCCCCAGAAGGGGCATCTGAGAGGAAACCACACGTTGATGCTCCTCTCCCTCTTTCTTCTTCCCTTCTCCTCTCTCTAAAAATAAAAAATTTAAAAAATAAAAATAGGACTAGTAAAATAAAACTAAGGTAAGCTAGATATTGCAGGAAATACCTCTAAAATGCCTTGGGTTACATTTCTCTCCATTTTGTTTCCATCTGAAAGGCAACAGCTAATATATTAATTTAGCACCTACTACATACCAGGCACCATTCTAGGAACAAAGAACAAAACAAAGCTCCTGCCTTCATGGAGCTCCCACTCTTATCTAAATCTTTACAACAACTGTGAAGTAGTTAGTATTACTATCCCCAATCTACAGATATGGAAACTGAGAGCTTGAAATTGTTAATTTGCCTCTGTGGTCTGCTCTAGAATGGGGGGTCAGCAAATTTCAGCCTGCCACTTGTGTTTGTAAACATAATTTTACTGAAACGCAGCCACGCCCATTTATTTGTGTACTATCTATGGCTACTTTCACACTACAAGGACAGAGCTGGATTGCTGTGACAGGGGCTGTATGACCTGCAAAGCCTAAAGTATGTACTACCTGGCCCTTTATGGAGTAAGTTTGCCATCTCCTACTCTCTAGAGTACTATTACTCCAAGTGTGGTCCATGGACCGGCAGTGAGGAAATCACCTGGAAGCTTGTTAAAAAAGCAGAATCTCAGGTCCTTAATGTGGAACTGCAGAATTAGGATCTGCAGAGGATGAGTTTTGATCAGAAATTTCAAAGAAATCAGCAAGAAAGGAGGCATTCTAAGCAGACAAAAAATACCTCTGCAAAAGAAGAATGGGAGACGGAACACAGGTCGGAGAGTTGGGACATACTTGGATAGATAGAACAAAACTGGGGAAGAATCTAAAACACATTCTATGGAATGTAGATTTGGTATTAAAAAAAAAAAACAACCCTCAGTAGTTTCTCTATCTTTGAGGAACAGTAGCAGTATCTGAATGGATTAAGGGCAGTGGTGTTGAGAGAGGTAAATTCCAGTTCCTGCACAGAAAAGTGGGACAGAGCTATCTCTTCCTCCCACCCACCTCTCAAGTGTCTTATCTTGTGCTCTTCCTATGAAAAAGCTGTCGTCTTCCTAGGGCAATGAAAATGCTAAACAATTCCCTCTGCAGGCAAATTCTGCAGACACCATTCATTCCAGCAGAAGAGGCAGCTGCTTCCCACTCCTAGTTTCCAGCCAAATGCCTCAAGCAAAGCTCTCCTCCTGAAGAGCAATCTGGAATCTCCACTAACCTAAGCCATCATGATCCATGATCCATGACCCACATGGACTTGACACTACCAATGACATTGAGCATCTTACCTAGATTTACCACGAAGTAAGTTTTTTCCTAAGCATATATTTGCTCTATTCATATAATATTGACACACTTAACTAATACTTGACTTAAAACCTTGGACCTCTTTCCTTTCCTCCAAAAGAAAGTCTTTCGGTTCTCATTTATGCTTAGGTATTAATGAGCTGGCCAAAAAAGTTCATTTGTTTTTTTCCCCCCTAAGATGGCTCTAGTAACAGTTGTCTTTAACTTCATTACAAATTCTTAGATTGCATTGTGACAGCTGTCATATCAGTGTACATTTAAATTAAAAACTTATCAAAATTGGTGAATTTTTCTGTAGCTATTTTAATATTGTAGATGGAAGAAAATATGCAACATTTTTGACATATTACGCTTTATTATTTCAAGAAAGGTAAAAATGCAACTGGAATGCTAAAAAAGATTTGTGCAGTTTATGGAGAAGGTACTGTGATTGACTGTGTCAAAAGTGGCTTGTGATGTTTCATGCTGGAGATTTCTCCGCTGGATGATGCACCACAACTGGGTAGACCAGCTGAAGTTGATAGTGATCAAATGGAGACATTGAGAACAATCAGCATTAGACTTTGTGGGCGATAGCCAGCACACTCAAAATCAATAAAGTCATTGTTGAAAGTGAAAAATATGTCTATTTCACTGAAAAAACTAAACAGGCTTTTTGGCTAACCCAATATTTGAGGTATCACTTGGTCTTCCACTTTGCTTTGGCAATGGAAGTCTGAGCACATGGTTAAAACACAGGTTCAGAGATGATAGACAAGAGCGAGGCAGGCAGCCAGCTGCCTCGCCCCATCCCAGCTGCAGATGGGCCCAGTTCTGGCCCTACCACAGGGCACGGCGCTGGCAGAAGTGTAGGGGCAGGAATAAAATCTCTTTGCGGACGACTTGCAAGGAGCTAATTCCACTGTGAGGCCAATTTGGGGAGCATCTCTTATCTGTAAAAATGTGACTGTAACATAAGGAAATGGCTTAAGGGAAAAAGACCTGAAATTATAGATGTTCTATGATGGCAACTAGACAAAAACTGTGGCTAAAAACAAGGCTATGAAGAAACTGTAAGTGGTCTTAGGGCAGGGATTGTAATTATTAATAATAACCTAAAGGTGGGGGATAGGATGAGGTGCTGGGGATCATATAATGCTCAGGACAGGCTGACTTTGTGGGCAGCTCCAGCCACAAAATAGATTACTAATTCCAAGCCTGCAGAAACTTACCATTCAAAGATGCTAAGAAAATTAAATATAGGACAAACCACAGATTTTCATCTCCCACAGCCTCTTTTATATGAATGATTAAAGAATAGCAATTCACAGATTAAACCAAGCAAAATTCACCAAAACAAGGCCTGTCTCCTTTCCCATAAGGAGCAAAATTATCATACTTCACAGAAACTGCAGGTGCATCCCTAAATATGTAGACAGAAAAGCCACCTCCCCACCCCACCACTCTAAGCCCCCCAAAACCTTTCAAGAAAGAGGGTATATTATAGCTTTGAATCAGTAAAAAGTTTCTATACAGAAATATGACAGGCAAACATTTGCAGTTCAAAGTAGAGACCAGGTGAAATGCTTGCTGTTACAGCTAATGCTTGCTGATGCTACATTTAAGTGGCCTGGCTAACTAGCTACACAATGAACCTGAAGCAATGTGTCCATGGATCTGTCTCTCACCTTCAGTGTAGTCAGACATGCAAATGTAAAGCTTTCCAAGATGTTGAAAAACAAGACACCAGTTTGTAGAAACCCTTAGACCCTGAAGCAGACCCAAGCCAGGAAATGAGGACAGGGGCTGACCCCACTAAATGCTGTCTACCTATGTCAAAAATTCCAATCTAGATTCATCAAGGTCTGATATTTAACCAAGGTATTAACGATTACTGAATGTGTACTGTATGTCAGATGAAATTAAGTCTGTTTTACCCCTCCTTCTCGGAAAAACATAACCCACTGAAGGCATTAAATTATCCATGCTGGTTAAGATATTTTTCAAAACTACTCAGCAAATTAGTACTTGCTTATTATATACCTACAACTCTTCCCTAACACAACAAACCAAAAGGTCAAGGGTCAGAAGTAGAAAAAATATATTCATACACACTACCACAGGTGAGATGACTTTGCCAGCAGCCTGGATTTGCCTTTGGACCCTATTTCTGAAAGTTCTAATAAATGAGAGTGGCGTTAGTTCTGTAACAAGAGACAGAGGGGTGAAGGGAATAATACTGCCTATAGATGCTGAAGCTGCTTCCAAGGGGCCCAGGAGCCATGTGGAGCTAACTAAGCAATAGAGCACTTCCTGACCTCTGCCTCTTTTCTCCAATACCCTTGCCCAGCCTTCAGCACAGGCAATGGCTCAAAGCAGCTGCAGAGTACACAAAGCCCTGTTCTGGGGGTGAAACTTACAATCCAAGGCAAATGGAAGAAATGTAAACATACAGAACTACCCTCAAATACAAGGGCAATTGTAAACACTCCAAGACTAGGCCCCCTGGAAAATGCACAACTCTAAGAATGAGCAGGAAATCAAAAGCTGGGGCCAGGTGGGGGAGTATGGGAAAGCTTCACCAACCGGGGTAAGAACCACAGAGACCATTGCCCCCAACACCCTCCACCTCTTCACCTGCTGTTCTATTTCTTTATTTGCTACTGTTTCCCTCTACAATTCTTTGGATGACTTACAGTCTTACACAGACACTTGAATACATGTTTTAAACCATTCTTGAAATCACTTAAATTGCCAATAAAGAATAGTGTATATATATTTTGTGCATCTGGTTATACACTATATAAAATAAAGAGGGCCATGCTGGATGAAAAAGATACTGTCTTTAAATAGGTGAATCATGAGGGGTGCCTGGGGGACTGAGATAGTCCTTGGGAAGGCAGGGGTGAGGCTCCTAGTCACCACGGGGCAGTATTCATCCATTGGAATGACAATGAGGCAAAATCACTCAACCTAGAGTTCTTTCTTTGGCTGTGTATATGTGATCTCACTGCTGTTAAATATATTTGCTGCAGGTCCACTGTGACTTTATTTTCCTTAACTAGCTATGCACCTACCATCATATTCTTATATGCATGCTTACTCCCACAATGATGCCCCTACGCCATCCTTTCTTATTTTTCCATTTCATCTGTGTGTGCGTGCGCACATGTACAGAGGGATGGGAAGGAAACCATGGATAAAGAGTTAAAATGAGAAGAACTGGTCTTTCCAATGTCACTTCCCTACATACAACCCCCATGGATAGGTAAACGGAGAGGGAAGAGTTGGCTGGTTCATTGTTTCTTTTCATAAAACTTTCACTTTCCAAGGGTCTACGCATAAACTTTCTTTAAAGAGGCAATGTGTTTGCAGTGCTAGCCTCAGTTCCTGTCCTGGAGCAGGAAATCAGATTACTAACCTGGAGTAACATCTGTCAGAAACAAGATGTTGTTGGTTGAGCACCCAATGCTGTCTGCAATCTTTCGATAACTCTCGCTCTCCACTTTGTGTCCAATCTTGGTGTCAAAGTGACCATCAATAAGCTGAAGACAGAAAAGGGAAAAGACTGACACTATAAATACACTTGTAACCTGGATCCCTTTGTTTCTCATCCCTTTTCTCTGAAATGTATGACAATCATAGTAACTTCACTCACTCAGTATATAACTGAAAATATACTTACTAAAGAACTTTGTGAGGGCTACAGAAAGTACATACAAAGATCTTACAGCAATAAACATTTGAAAGGAGAAAACTACCAGTTCAACACATATAAGATCATTTTATAATCTACTTGTTTTTCTTTCATCAGCATTAATTTTTTTATCCAAAATCTTTAAAAATACACATGCCCTACTTTCTAACCTTAAAATACTATTTGTACTCAAACTACTTCTTAGGTTTCACTCCTGAAGAAAAATTCTGAACACTGATTGTCCTTTTGACCCCAGGATGAACAGATTTCTCTAAACTGCCTCATTAATAAGCTGTTACTTTACTTTCAACAAGCTTTCATTTTCTGATTAAAACATTTTGAAATTCTACCCAAAAGCTAGTATATACCCTTGCCATCTTAGAAATATTTGGGGCCAGCCCTGGTCCGTGTAGCTCAGTGGGCTGAGTGCTGGCCTGCAAACCAAAGGGTTGTAGGTTCGATTCCTAGTCAGGGCAGATGTCTGGGTAGCGGGCCAGGTCCCGAGTAGGGGGTGCGCGAGAGGCACCCACACACTGATGTTTCTTTCCTTCTCTCTCTCTCCCTTCCTCTCTGTAAAAATCAATCAATAAAATCTTCTAAAAAAAGAAAGAAAAATAATTGGGACAAAATGTGTCACTTGCTAATTTAACCAACAGTAATTAAAATAAGTCCATATTAAGGATCAGTTTTTATAATGTAAGCTTTTGAATATTTTCAGAACTTTTCACAAGATAAAAACAAGCCTAACAATCACTCAAAGACAAATTAAGGTAATATTATGATTATTTTTTAACTTATAAAAAGTTAAGGTTGGTTCGCATATTTTTTGTCTCAAGTTCTGCCTCATTTAGTAACTGGAGAATAAGGTTTTCACTATTGAACTCAGTAGATAATATTATCATGTCCTGTCTTCACCTTATTGTCTGTTATACCAGAGTGAGCAGAAAAGAGGATTACATCTGTATTCAGAGGACAATAGTTACCATTAGAAATTTTTTTTACTGACTTAATTTTTTATTTAGAATATGAAAAGCAAGAAAGTAATAAAATGAGAATATGACAATCCCCAAAACCAAAGTGTTCTCGGTATACAGTAGAAGCGCAATAGATATTTATTTTAAAAAAATAGTTGGCCAGGTGACCTACTGTAGATCAATAAATTCAGTGTGCATTGAGTTAGCATGTCTTCTTGAAGCCCTAAATGTATTCGTTTCTTCCAAAGACCAGTCTGTCCTCCAGGGTGCATAGGTATGAATGGTGGGACAAAGGGCTAATAAGAATTTTTTCTGGGGGCAGGGGGCAACGGAAAGTGGTAGCGGGAAGGTGGAGACAAATGTATTTGAACAATAAAAAAATAAAATAACATAACTTTTTCATGAACGGGAAATTTAGCAGGTGGCCTTCATTGTTTAATAATATACCCAGTTCTCTTACATAAGAATGCTGCTTCTCCCTGGCTATATGGTTCAGTTGGTTGAAGTGTCATCCTTTAAACCAAAAGGTTGCAGGTTCTATCCCTGGTCAGGGCACACAGTCATACCTAAGTTGCAGGTTTGATCCCCAGTCAGGGCACATACAGGAGGCAACCAATCTATGTTTCTCTCTCACATCGATGTCTCCCTCTCAAATCAATAAACATATCTTCGGGTGAGGATTAAAAATAAAACTATATTAAATTTAAAAAAGAATGCTGGGACTGCCCAAATAAAACCTGTAGCTCTCCAAAGTACTAGAAACAATCAATCTACCTTTACTGCTTTCGAGAACTTTGGGAGGTTTGTTGTTGTTTTTGGATGGTGACATGTATCACTATTTTACACTTTACCTGCTTTATTTATTCATTCATTCATTCATTCATTCATTCATTTATAGAATAGGGGAAGGGAGGGAGAGAGAGAGGGAGAGAAACATTAATGTGTGATTGCCTCTCACGTGCCCCCTACTGGGGACCTGGCCCGCAACCCAGACATGTGCCTTGATTGGGAATCAAACCTGTGACCCTTTGGTTTGCAGGCTGGCGCTCAATCCCCTGAGACACACCAGCCAGGGCATTTACCTGATAGTTTAAACAACCAAAAGAAACCATGCAATTAGTTTCCATTGGGCTGACAATTTCCTGATATTGTCAAGATAGCTGATTTACTACAAGTTAGCTCATGTCGTTAGCTGTATTTTATATATGGTTCAAGTACTACCATCATGAAAATCACTTAGAGTGGATGTTTAAATATGAAGATTCCTGACTCCCTACCCCAGCCCTGACAATTTCAATTTGCTGGGAAGCAGGCCCAGGGATCTACATTTTAAACAAACTCCCGAGGTGATCCTTTTGCACAAGAAAGTGTAACAATCATTGATACAAAGATTGGTAACATAGAACACTTCACCCTTGCCTATAATGTATTCCTATTTTTCCACTTCCCTGTACAAAGTGCTTAGCATATATAAATGCAATTATCTGAATGCTGATTTAGCTTATAACTGTGGCATATTCCTTTAACATTCATTATATCATGCTTTGATCGTGTCAAAGAACAAAGTAATCAGGTAACCTACCTCAAGAATATCTCCCTCTGTTGAATACCCAAATAAAAGTTTCTGTGCCTCCACACTCCCTGAAGAATAAACATACACCTTCATTCCAGCCTCTCTCCATTTCCTGACTGCTGGAACTACATCTTCAAAGAACCTGGAGGAAAAAAAAGTTAAAATGCAGGAACATGTTATCTAGCCAGATGAAAAACAGTTAAAATAGTTGTCACAAGTTTCTGTATTTGTGCCCAAATGGCTGACATGAGAAACAACTCCACAAGACTTCATCTGCAGATCTAATAAGAGTGTCAGCGGAGTTCTAGGATCACAGCAGATCAGAAGCAACAATTTAGGTGGAAAGGAGAATAGTTCTTGACAGTCCCACTAATGATGGTCAAAAGTTATTACAGATAACAGGATGAAATAAGTAACTTTTTAAATCCTCACTCGAGGACATGCTTATTGGTTTTAAAGATGGGGAAAGGTAGGAGGGGAGAGAGGGAGAGAAACATAGATGTGAGAAACACTCATGGGCTGTCTCACACATGTGCCCCAATTGGAGACCGAATCCACAACCTAGGCATGTGCCCTTACCAGGAATCAGACCTGTGACCTTTCGGTTTAAAGGATGACATTCCAATGAACTGAGCTACACTGACCAGGACAGAAAGCAACTTTTTAAAATAAAAAAAAAAACTCAAAAAAGTAAACAATAATATTGTGCTATTATGTAATCTTTGATGTAATGCATGACAAGAAAAGGTTAAATTATGTCTGGTGTGCCTTAAGCAAGCATGGGAATGCTTTTAGAAAGAGCTGCACCCAAACAAAAGAAAAAAAGGTTTGGGGGCTCAAAGCTATTAATTTTTGATTAGCTAGAAAATGGAACTACATTTCCTGAGAACTAAGAAAACCTAAAGTTTTACTACACAGAACTCATATTTGCTACTCAGCAAACAGTATCTGTTTTTCTAACTTCTGACCTGGTCTTATTTACCAATTCTGTGGCACATTCAGTGGTGGAAATATCATTGAAGATGGATGAAAAGACAAGCACAAGGAATTTGGGATATGGAGCCAGTCGTCCTTAAAAGAGTGAAATGTGTCAGAGAAATCTACCGGATAAAACAGCTTAATATGTTGCACTAATTGAAGAAAAGAGATTCACTAGTTCAAAACCAGCTCACATAATTGTGAGTTACTTTGTGTGTTACTTTGTACTTACAAAGACAGAATTTTTCCATGTTGAATATGCAGATTGTTATTGCTCCAAAGCAGGGTTTAGAAGTCTAAGATAACTTATTTCAAGTCCCTGGCCTTATAATTGAGGAACCAAGACCAAGAGAAGGAAAGACTAAGTAATTTAAGCATAGTCTCCTGGCTCTACTCTTTTGAGTGTTTTACAAAGCAATCTAGCTGATATTCCCAGATCACTGGACTATCCTGACATTCCAATGCATCCTTTAAAAAGTGGAAGCCCCTGGTAAAGTATATAAAGAAATGGCTTCTCATTTGCAAAAAAGAAGAGAAACAGGCAGCTGGAAACAGTCTTGAATCTTAGGGTTTACATCAGGCAATGGCCTAAACCCCTTAGTGGCAGTGTCTTATTAAGAATATGTTAGCAACAAAGGACTCTTGAGTCTCCTTCAGCAGGAGTGCTCAGGAACTCCATAATCAAGACAAAAGGCCTGTGGAAGGTGCTCAAAGGAGCACACAGAACAGAGGGGCACTGCTGATACTCTGAGTGCTGCCAAAATGACGGGGTGCATAATTACAGTTCTCACTTCTCTAACAGAACAGAAAACAGGTAGTCTAATGGTCCTGGGAAGCAGCCCCATAGTGCTGTTACTCTTATGCAAAGGATCAAATATAATTTGGTTTAAAAAGTGACCATTTTCTAGGAAGCCATTTTTAAATTGGGATTAAAAGTCCTTCAACCATCCCACAAAGCCAAAGAGCAGGTTTGGGGAATTTAACTGGGTGAAATGTTTTATCCCAGTTTTGAAAACAAAACACTCACTTGTTAGAATAAAAAGAATGTTGATTTTATCTATTTTACTAATCAAGCAACACTGGAGAGAGAGGGCTAGTGGAAATGTATTTGGTTTTGAGGCCGGTGAAATGTTCAGAGTCACATGAGCAGCTACATACTCTGCTTTCATGCGCCCCGCTGTGAATGCTGCCCTCCACATGTGGCCCTGCAGCTGTTTCAGCGCCGTGGTCTTTCGGTCCAGAGACATCTGCCAGCACACATTATCTACCACAGCCTGGATCGTCTGTTGCAGGTCATCTGCCCCATTCTCAGATGCAGCAGGGATCGGAACAGCCCCAACCAGGTGGGAGTCCTCTTCAGCCTTCAAGTCATAAACAACATGAAGTTTGTTTCTTATTTGAAAAAAGAGCACTTAAAATGATACCTGACAACCAAGCTGACCAACTTTCTCCAACTATCATTAGCACCAAGCACTGTTACAAATTTAAAGTATCCTATACTTTGGGGCTGATCTGAATGATTCCTAAAAGAAACTGGATTATAATCAATAATTTACATTACCTTTCCTATATTGTTAAAGCTGAAATTTAAACCAAGAGGCATGTATGTGAGAAGAAAAGCAGCATATGATAAAATGATATAGTAAGACCTGGCTTGTTAATTCACTTACTAGGATCGATAAACCATGACTTCAACTAAATCTGATCATTTTCTCTGCAATATAACTGAAAGAAAAAAAAAAACAGAAAACCTTTAAAATTAGTTCAAGCCTAGAGTTCAATTAAAAGAAGCTAGTGAAGTAATGTCTGAGGTTGGTTCACATTCAGCCTCCTGCCATCTCCCACGCCCTGCAAAAACTCTAACGGCTATTTGGAACACTGACAATGTGACAACGTTTATGTCCAACATCTAAAGACTCAATGAGTCATATCCTACAATGCGGAAATATGTATGCATGTTGCAACAAGAATTAAGACACCAAAAAAGGTAAAGGAGGGGAGTATTTCAGACTAAACATGAATTATCTAGAAAATCCAACAAACAGAAATACCCCAGCACCTCAAAGGATATGCCTGTATTTCCAATCCTAACTCCTAACATTAAAAAATTCAGGGAGCATTTCACATTGTCCAGTATAGAAAATTAACTAGAAAATAACTGTCACAGAGTTAGCTCTGCACAGCATGTTAAGATCTTTGCCACTGAAGCAATTTTAATAAGAAAAACAACAAAACAGAAGATCCACAGCACACAGTGTGGAAGGGAAAAGAGACTGAAAACTGGGCAGAGAACAGAGCAGAACAGAGCTTGAGACAGGTAGATATGAGGGCAGGGACTAGTGTGAGCTAGGATAAGAAGTCTAGAGGTGGTGTGTTGATGTGAGGACCTAGGAGCACTGTGCAGGGTTCCTCAGGGGCTCATACCAGAGGCCAGAAGAGTGGATGAGGTGATGAGGTGCTGTCACTCTGAGACATTAATGAAAAATCTGAAAAGACAGCACAAAACCTTTTGCATTCCACCCAGAAATGGCTTAAGAATAAGTCTCTAAGCATCCTATTTCTAAGACACTTGTGAATGTGGACACAATAGACTAGAAATGTCCCAACCTGTTTCCTCAAAAGACTGACATCCTGCTGACACTCCTCTTCTTCCCAATGTGTCTGCAAATACTCTTTAACATTTTCTTTGATGTAACGAAATAAAATGTCCTGGTAAAAAAGTAAAAGAAAAAACAAGGATAATTTTATTCATTTGCATGAGATCAAGCTCTTCAACAATCTCACCTTAGCTAACTGTAACAAATAAATCAGTGAAAATACAGAAATAGTAGCTGTGAGATATATGACTGAGACAGAGACAGAGACCAAGAAACAAATGAACTAGATAGACAATCAGTAAACCATGGCCCCTGGGCCAAATCTGTTCTACGTCTTGTTTTTGTGAATGAAGTTTATTGGAACACAGCCACATCCATGTTTACATAGCGTCTATGGCTACTTTGGGACCACAGTGGCAGAATAGAGTGTAACTAAGGCCGTATGGCCCTCAAAGTCTGACCACTTACTATTCAGCCCTTTACAGAAGTCTGTTGACTCTGGAACTAGATTGCTAGACCATAGGTGCTTAAGGGAGGGATCAAGCATATGTTGCTCACAGTTGCAACCCCAAGGCACACCACAGTATTCGGAACATATACGTAACTCAAATATCTGCTGAAAGAACAGTGTCCATGCGTGACAAATGTTTTTAAAACAAACTCTGATCGCCATGACTCTTGGTAATCAGACTACTTATTAGACTACCCTATAAGAAAGTGATGTACAAAACAATTCATAAAAACCTGTCAGTAATCCATGCATCAGGAATTTTGGGGTAGGGATGGAAGGTAAACAAAGAATTATAATGGTACACAATGGATAAGATAAACAGAGTATGAGCAGAACGCTGTGTGATTCCAGGGCATCTTTGATAGTCTTAGGAATAACCAGAGTAAACAAACATGCTGTGAGTGTAGACCCTAAGTACACAATTCAGAAACGGCATTACATTTTAAGAGAAATTCCATAATCAAGTTGAATTATCTTGTGCTTTCTCCCTCTCTTCCCTTTCGACCTCCTTGTTACAAGCTTCTGGACCATTAGTGCTTCCTAAATATTATTACAAGTGAACAAAGGCAAAAAGGTGAAAGAAGGTGGCAGAAAATTGAGGTATGATATGGTTAGGACATAGTTAATAGATCCATATGAATAAAAACTATGTGGTTTTTTTTTAGTGTCATAGTGTTTCCCCAACTGGTACAAACAAAGGTTTGGCTACATAATTAGAATTTTTTAATATTTCAGAAGACCCAAGTCTAAGTTCAACTTAAACTGTACTCCCAAATGAAAATATACGACACAATAAAGCTATTATGACTTTTTTTAAATGGTAGGACTGAAGTGTTTTCTCTCTTCATAATACATTATTCAAATTTCACCTGCCCTAGAAAAAATAAAGAAGTCATTCAATTTTGCTTGTTCTCATGTGGCATTCCAGTAAGTAATGGATCATTCAGCAGATTTCGAAGCACAAAAACAGTATGATCAGGCAAATTTTTCAGAATACTTGACAGAAAAGCCTTGTTTAAGCTCAATAAAAACTCATTCTTGATTTAAAAGAAAAATATAGACCTAAGACTGACAGCTTGCTTTTTCTGCAAGAGATTCCTCTTACCCTACTGATATACTTCAGATTTTCTTTAAATTACTTATTTTCCCATCATGCCCTACCTGATGCCTCTTATTCTTTCCTTTTCTTATTTAACGTCTCTCCCTGAGTCACGCACTGTGGTAAGGCTGCAAACTGGCCCCCACTTTAGATTGTTGAGAAGATGTAGTAAAAACTAAAGATATACCAGCCAGTCCTTTCCTAGGCATATACCATAAAAAAACTAACATATGTGCACAAAGAGGAAAGTGAAAAAATGTTTGTTGCAGTACTGGGTATAATAGCAAAGCATCTAGAAACAACCTCTATCTCTATCAGCTAAGAATAGATAAACTGGGGTATACTCATACTCTAAAACATTATAAAGCAGTTGAACATGAATGCACTCAATTATATTTTATCAATATGAGTGTAAATTCTAACATAAGAATAAAAACATAATACAAAATGGGATGTACTCAGGGCCTCAGTTATATCTGTAATGTTTTATTTCTTTAAGATCTGAAACAAACATAATATTAAAAATTTGCTTTGTGGTAGGTACATGGTCATTACATTCATCTTTCTGATTATTTTGTTTCATAATTAAAAAACAAGCAAGCCACCTTTCATCCCTTACCCTACCTACACCTGCTTCTTTCTCTCTTGGTCATCCTCCTCTGGTGTCCTGCCTCTATTATTCCCCAGCTCCCAAGACAGTAGAAAAATTTCAGGGGGAAAACTGTTGGTTAGATTAAGGATCTCCTAGTAACTGAAGAGCTGAGGTACCAGAGTTTTGAAATGCATACAGCTCTTTACTACTTTGTGCTTCACAAAGTCCAATTTCCTATATCCAGTTTTATTGGTACAAAGAACAATTCATAAAATGAATTGTAAATGCTGAGAGCCCAGTTCCTTGAACTCTGTGGGAGAGGAGATACAGACTCCAGGTGGCCTGCCAGGCCAGGTCCTACCTCTGTCTTTTACTAGCTGCGTTCAAGTAATTTATCCTCTCTAAGCCTGTTTTCTCATCTGCTATATGGGAATAACTAGAGATTAATATTATATTCTCCAACACAGATAAATATTTAAACTAGGCAAGGATCACCTTTCACCCAAATTTAGTGATAAGGAGCAGAAAAGTTTCCAGAGAATCATAATAAGCACAGGTAATCCTTTATTCAATGTTTACTGAGGATCTCCTGAAAGCCAGGTTCTTGTGATAATGGAATTACAAACTACAGCCCCTCTCCTCAGAGAACTCACAAAAATAAAAGGGGCAAGTTTCCTAACAATTCTAAACTTCTATTTTATTTTTTAAAATATTTATTTATTTTTAGACAGAGGCGAAGGGAGGGAGAAAGGGGTAGAGAAACATCAATGTGTAGTTGCTTCCCACATGCCCCCTACACGGGACCTCACCCGCAACCCAGGCACATGCCCTGACTGGGAATCAAACTGGCAACCCTTTGGTTCACAGGCTGGCGCTCAATCCACTAAGGCACACCAGCTAGGGAACAATTCTAAACTTTTAGGAAAAGCTTTAGCAGTCATAGATTACTTTGAAATTCCTGATCATCCAATTTGCCCCTTACCTCTACACATAAAATTCTCCTCTGCACTGAGTGAACACCAAACTAGACAATGAGGCTAGAACTCAGTAGAACATCTGGAATATCAGTATTACTTGGGGGTGACATGGTAGCAGACTATTCTATTTTAGTGTAAAAGTATAATTGCATAACATAAAAGTACAGTAACTAAATTGTAAGGATCTTATCTATCCTCTCAACACACTCAGCATCTATTACGTAAAATAAATAAAATTCTTTCAGGTTGGTTGTTTTAAAAAGCCAGTAATTATATCTTAGTCTGACATGTGCTATAATACCATATTAAAAAAACTCCAAAAATAAGACTTCTTAAAGCTAGTGTTTATTGCCCAATCCTGCCCACTGAAAATACTCAGGCTTTAAAAATAATTCCACAAATAACTGTGATGATAAATGTTTTAACTTCAGTTCTGATCCATTTATAGATAATTTCAGAATATTATAACACAAAAAAAAATGCAGCAATAAACCCAGCGTTCTACCAATGTGTGACTATTTTAATCTATCAGGTACCTAAGGGGTTGTTATGGTTTAGCAGCACATATAGCAAAAGGCTATAGAAAAAAAAAAAAAAGAGAATTATTTGTTTTCCAGGGGACTTTGATTAAATTCTGCCAAATGGTGGAAGAGATACTACACAAGCAGCAATCTATTCTACTCTATACAGCTCAATGGCAGCTTTCTGAAAGAGCTCTATTAAGGGCCACAAAATCAAAGAAGTTGCCTAATAAATGTTTAGAAGTCCAAATATGGATCTGCTTTATGGTTAAGTGGCTGTTTTAGTGTAAAGGTCATAGAATCAATCAAAATAAAATTGTTGTTATAATCTTTACTCAAGTCTCCTCTGAAGGAAATGTGTATATAAAAAGGGAATACAGCCCTGTGTTCATTAAAGCATTATTTACAACAGCTAAGATTTGGAAGCAGCTCAAGTGCCCATGAGTAGATGAGTGGATAAAAAGCTGCAATACACTTACACAATGGAATACTACTTGGCCGTATAAAAGAAAGAAATCGTACCTTTTACAACGGCATGGATGGATCTGGAGTGTTTTGTAAGTGAAATAAGCCAGTCAGAGAAAGGTAAGTACCATATGATTTCACTTACATGTGGAATCTAATGAACAAAATAAACAAACAAAATAGAAACAGGCAACAGACTGGCAGCTGTCAGAGAAGAGGGGTGTTGGGGGGCTAGGTGAAAAAAGTGAAGGGATTAAGCAAAGGAAAAAAAAACCTCACGGACACAGACAATAGTCCGGTGATTACCAGATGGAAAGAGGAGTAGGGGAAGTACAAAAGGGTATGAGGGGATAAATGGTGATGAAAGATTTGACTTGGGATAATAAACACACAATACAGTATACAGATGATGTATTATAAAACTGTGACCCTGAAACCTATATAATTTTATTAACCAATGTCATCCCAATAAATTTAATTTAAAAATAAATAATAAATATTAAAAACAAAACACAACACTGAAGCACCAGATGTACACATTCCCAATACATGGTGATACCTTACCTTATTTCACCACTCATGTTTTAAATAAGTGTCCTTTTCAGAGTCTAATTAGTGGCACATTTTTCATCTCTTGTGCTTTTTATTGGTGATTTTGCAGTTTAAAATCGGCCAAGCACTGTCTAGTATTCCTAAGTGCAAGAAAGCTTTGATGTGCCTTGTGTAGAAAATAAACGTTAGATAAGCTTTGATAAATCACGAGTTACAGTGTCATTGGCCATGAGTTCAATATTAATGACTCAAAAATATGTATTAGCCCTGCTGGTGTGGCTCAGTGGATTGAGTGCCAGCCTGCGAACTGAAAGGCTGCTGGTTCAATCCCCAATTGGGGCACATGCCTGGGTTGCAGGCCAGGTCTTCGGGGCCGGTGAGGGGTAGCTGATCAATGCATATTTTGCACATTGATGTTTCTCTGCCTCTCTTTCTCCCTCCCTTCCTCTCTCTCTAAAAAAGTAAATAAATATAGTCTTTTTTAAAAAAGAATATATGTTAAACAATGTAAACAGAAACACATAAGACGTTATATAATGATCAGTTGATGAAAATGTTGTGTCCAGAGGCTCACAGGAACCTAACCCTGTATTTTCTCTACAAGGAATAATTCAGTATTTGCTAACATGTTCTCAGTGACTTTGCAGTACAATGTGCAACTGTTTTTACAGGTACCAACTCAACATGTAACAACAGGAAAGCCACCAAATCATAGAGCATTTTCAGGAATAAGATATCATTTTCCTCAAACTTAAACATTAGTTGAAGTTTCCTGACAGGATAACCACAGGGACTGATGATGGTGTTATTTCATAGCATACAGACTAGAACCATTAGAATGATGATACCGTGGCTGGGTTGCTCAGTTGGTTAGAGCATTGTCCTGATAAACCAAGGTTACAGGTTTGATTCCCATTCAGGGCACATACAAGAAGCAACCAATGAATTCATAAGTGGAACAACACATGATGTTTATCTCTCTCTTCTTTCCTCTATCTCTAAAATCAATTAAAAAAAAATTAGAATAATGCAAGGCACATATTCAGAAAATGAACATTACATAGCCATGTTCAAAGAGCAAGAAAGAATACACCCCAGAGGCATGCAAATGAAACAATGGGGTAAGGGAAGGGAATATAACATTTATCTATACTTACAATCTCACCTTTAAATTCCAATTTATTTTGTGACAATAATAATACAGTATGTGTACACAATTTATAAATCCTATTTGTAGTGCCTGTTCCAATTCTGCTCACAGTGAACAAGGCCAAAAAAAGTCAGGAGATCACCACTGTGGAGGATAAGAATCAGTATCTGAAAACAAACTCCAGGTGTATGTGTCCTGTAGTGAGGGACAGGGCTTGTTGCTTTGAGGACTCAGATGCACTGGGAACATCTAAAGAAACATGGGTTCTACTGCTGCTCTGCCCCCAAGTTGTGATGATTGCCACACAGGCATCAATTGATTCATGGAAGAAATTTATTAGCTTGTTGCAAAACTCACCAAACAATCTGAGCTAGGAGCCCTTCCTGCTCTAGAAATCTGACATTCTGATTCAGAAAAAAAGATACAATGGTTGGTAAGTAAAACCACTGTGTGTTGTTGCCTGGAGTCTAAGAGCTGACCCCTGACCAGATAGAGCAACAGGCTGTCCACAGAACACCTCTTCCCAGGTGGGAGGATTTTACAGAATCTGTTAAGAGATCATAGACTATTAGTGCTATCTTGCATACTTAAGCTAATCAACTGTAAATGCTCAACAAAAAAAAAAAAAAAAAAAAAGAAGAAGAAAAAGAAAGGGAAAAACATAACCATAACCAGTACTGGCCACCTGTCTACCATGCCACTAAATGAGGGTGTTCTGTTCCCTGGGACAGTCTCAGTTCCCCGGTTTCTCTTACAGTGTGAGGCTAATGTTTGACACAACATATTTTTCCTTTATATCATCTAATCATGAACTACTTTCTCTGGTGCTCAAGGGAAGAAGCAGGGATTGTTTCCACCCTAAAGGAAAAAGTCGCTGCATATGACTTACTGAAATATGGAAATCAACCTTGAAAAAGACTTCTGAAGGGTAGTTCAAGGACAATTTTTGACAATACTCAATCTTCACAGTATACACCGACTGCAAAACCAAATGACCAAATATTGTAAGAATCATTATAGCTTTTCTGGTCCAACAGTTCACTCCTAAACCTATACCTAAGAGGTAATATAAACTGAAATTTGCTGCAATGTTTTTATGTTACTTTATATTGTTAAAATGCTCTCATATCAACTGTGCCATTTAACATACACAGCAGCCAAGCAAAAACAAAGAGCTGTGGTTCCCATTTCAGAGATCAAGTGCAATAACGGAAAGAGTTTTTGAGCTAGACAATTCCAGTTCAAATCTCTGGCTATTCTCCAATTTTTCAGAGCCCTGGTTTCCTAACAGTAAAATGCAAACACTTGCACATATCTCACTCAGATTTTGAGGATGAGTCAAGTATACAAGTCGCATGTATATGTTTCCTTTCATCATTCCACAGGATATATGATGTGATATATAATCACATCAATGTGATTAATCCCAATTCCCAACTCCGTGCTCAGAGGTTCAAGAAGAATGTAACTTAGCATCTCTTTAAAAGGTGTTCAAAAGCTAGAACTGCTTTGCTAAAGGTTTTGGTTCAACTAAATTTGTAAAATGATACTTTCTTGAAGACTCACAAAACATGTATGTGTGTGCAAGTGTGTATGATATAAAAGCTCTATAACTTTTTAAATAAAGCTGGTTCAACATGTACAGAACATTTCCCAAAAGTGCATTTAATAATGGAATACTTTTGCATAATTACTATAATCGTCCACACAGACCTAATGTTCTTCTGAACATACTTTTAGATGAATATACCTTTCTTAAAACTTATTTTATTATAAGATTTTATTTATTTTTAGAGAGGGGAAGGGACGGAGAAGAAAACATCAATGTGTGGCCGCTTCTCGCGCGCCCCCTACTGGGGACCGGGCCTGCAACCCAGGCAAGTGCTCTAGACTGGGAATCAAACCGATACCCTTTGATTCGGAGGTCGACATTTAATCCACGGAGCCATACCAGCCCGGGCTAGATAAACATACTTTTCAGAAACATTGGTTTTGATAAGTTAATGTATAACAAATTAATATTATATTACATTAATAGTTAACATTCATAAAAATAGTCAATAGATTATAGGATATGGCACAAGAAACCAGGGATCCTCACACTTCAGTCTTTCCATTTTGCGAAACTAAAAGCCTTAAGGATCACTGGATTGCGGCCACCGCCTCGCCAGGTCGAACCAAGCAGAAAGCAGGCTCAACCTGTCCCGCGGGCGCCGCACACTTCGTCTCACCCTGCTGCGGTGGACCATTGCCTCCTTCACCCTTTTTCACCACCACCTCTATCGCTTCCTACCCATCCGCATCTACCAATGACGTGCGGGGGAGGGTGAGATGATACCATGAGATAAAGCATCCCCGCAGTATGCCACAAATGGTGCAAAGCCACACCGCCTATCCTACCTCTCCCGTCTCCAGTGCACTAGCTCTGCAATACTTAAAATTCTTTAATTGTTTCAAAGCACAAGTAACCTCTCCGCTCCCTTTCGCCCCTCACCTTCACGAAAGCAATCGGAGTTGTGGTACCTTCGATATCTAACAGGATCACAGACACTTCGGCGGGCACAGAAAGCACGACCATTTCCCAACCAGATGCTACCACAGGAATAGGCCTACTGGTACAGAGGGCGGCGCCGACTGCGTCCCCAGCACCGTCCTGGGAATCCGACAGCTTCGCAAGAATTTCGGAGCGGTCAACCGCGTGCGGTCCGAAGCAAGAGGAAAAAAGGCCACTTCCACAACCCAGAGAGTGGAAAGAGAGGCCGCATAAGACACCTGAAATCGCAAGCTGCCCAGGGCTTGAGGCAGAGACCACATGGACAGGGAAAGAGGCGGACCTGGCGGGGCTCCGTGGGGGCGGAGAGCAGTAAAGGCGTAGATGCCGATTGGCCGCCAGAGGGCCTAAACCCTATCAGTCAAAACGGGCCTCGCACGGGCGGGAACAAAGCAAACGCCGAAGGAGAGTGCGCGGGCCCGCGCTCTCCGCAGACTTGAGCGAGCGGGAGAGGCCCGGGGCACGTGCAGACGGGAGCCCCGAGAGTGGTGCGCCGGGGATGTGAGTGCTCCTGCCCTATACGGCACCTAACCCCCACCCCGCCCAGTGCCTCAGCTTTTGCATATCTTCAGTAATCCGACCGGGCTTTCTCCCGTCCTCAGCGAGCAAAAGGGGACGTACGGCACCCTGGTTGGCCTTACTGCAGTTGCCCGGTTTCGACCCATCGGCTAGGGAGGCCTGTCGCCCCTTTTGGCTCGCGCGCCTATAGCGGTAGCGGAAAAGGCGCCGGCGCCGCGCCGCTGCCCGCAAGGTCCGTCGCGCGCCAGCTTCCTGTTCGGTTCGTTCCAGCCAGCTCGAAGACAAAACACGCTTGCGCGCAGCAGACGGGCAGGCGCGCTCGTCGCCTCCTCCGTCGGTGCCGGGCGCAGTCCGCTTTTTCCTGGAGCAGGCGGGCTGCGGTGCTAATCGATAGCAGCCACCGCAGCAGTTCCGCACTTGGGGACGAGGGCAGAGGAAGGCTGGGTTGTCGGCTGTTGCTAGGAGTGAGCTGGACCTGACGCCAGAGACAGAAGCTCTCAAGGAGGGAATTGGCCCTGCGACTGCGCTGCTCGGGATTTTTGAACCCAGGACTCTTCGCCCCTTCGTTTTTCTCTTCTGACGCTTCTCTCATCCCAAGCCCGCGTCCCCTCACCCGCGAAGTCGCTCCTCACCGGAGGGCCACGATGGAGGTCCCGCCCCGGCTTTCCCATGTGCCGCCGCCATTGTTCCCCTCCGCTCCCGCTACTTTAGCCTCCCGCAGCCTCTCCCACTGGCGGCCACGAGCGCCGCGGCAGCTCGCTCCGCTCCTCCCTTCGCTCGCTCCCAGCTCCGCCCGACAGGGGGCGCGCCGAGCCCAGCGCCACGTCACCGCCCAGCAGCCCTCCCGATTGGCGGGCGGGGCGGCTATAAAGGGAGGGCGCAGGCGGCGCCCGGATCTCTTCCGCCGCCATTTTAAATCCAGCTCCATACAACGCTCTGCCGCTGCTGCTGCCGGGACTCGAACTGCGCGCCAGCACCTCCCGGCCGACAGCTCCGCCACCATGGAGGACGTGAACGAGTATAGCAACATAGAGGAATTTGCAGAGGGATCCAAAATCAACGCGAGCAAGAATCAGCAGGATGACGGGTACCGCACGCAGCTCCCCTCTCCCTCAGCGCGTCGCACGCGCCCTTCGTCCCTCGAGATCCGCGCGCTGCCCACATTCTTGCCCGGAGTCGATTCCCCGCGTGCCCGCTGGGCCCCACTAGCTTGAAGGGAAGAGGAAAGTAGGAGACGGAGGGGATGACTCGAGAGGCCCGTGGAAGGTGGGGGAAGGGCGGAGGGGTTGGAGGCGGAGGGCGGTGGCGTCTGTGTCCCGATTGCGCAGGCGCCGCGTGGGGCCGGAGGGGGAGGGGCCGCCTCGCTGCGCCACATGCTGCAGCTGCCGCCGCCTCTTCATTGTCTCTCTGTTAGGGATCGGCACAGTTTTCGTGAGAAGAGTTTAGAAAACTCTTGGTTTGAGAACCATGGTGCAGTGGTACACGTCTCCAGAGCGCGTTATAATGAGTTCCCTAAGAGGAACATCGGCTTGACAACTGAGGAAGAAGGTGGACTTGTGAGGGATTAGTTTAGGAAGTTGGGTTTTCTAAAGTAGAACAGTGTTTAACATTTTGTTGGCTTCGGCCTCATTTAAACTTTTCGTTACGCAGTGTGGAGAGCAAGCTGTTTTTTGAGTAAGTCGTCTCGTTGGGAATTTGGAATTTTTGTGGTCTGTTGATAATATGTATCTGAAAACGTGGATTAAATTATTTACACATAGTTGAACTTACCTACTAATTTCATAGTTAAAAGAATCCCAGAATTGAAGTAATCTTTCGAGCTGCTGCTAACCTTTAAAAAACTTTTATTTCTAGTAAAATGTTTATTGGAGGCTTGAGCTGGGATACAAGCAAGAAAGATCTGACTGAATATTTGTCTCGATTTGGGGAAGTTGTAGACTGCACAATTAAAACAGATCCAGTCACCGGAAGATCAAGAGGATTTGGATTTGTGCTTTTCAAAGATGCTGCTAGTGTTGATAAGGTAGGAATGTGTTTTGCATGGTGCTGCTTTTGTGTGATTTTTGCAAACTGTTGGGAGAGTTGGTTGTATATTGCTGTCAAATTAAATAAATATGCTTTCTAGGTTTTGGAACTGAAGGAACACAAGCTGGATGGCAAATTGATAGACCCTAAAAGGGCCAAAGCTTTAAAAGGAAAGGAACCTCCCAAAAAGGTTTTTGTTGGTGGCTTGAGTCCAGATACTTCCGAAGAACAAATTAAAGAATATTTTGGAGCCTTTGGTGAGGTGCGCTGTGTGGTTGTTTGTGTGTTTTATATTTGATGTGTTGATGTAGCATTCATCCCTGGCCCACTTCTTACAGAACTTCATGTCAGGGGAGGGTGGGATTAAATTAATCCTCGAGTTCTTTATAGTCACCGTGCTCTTGTCACTGCCTTCTGTGCTGTAATGGAAACCAAATTCTAATTTATTTTGGCAAAAACATAGGTGTTTTAGTGTGGCCAGTGTTTGGACTTGTTAACTAGTGGCATTTGTAGGGTTCTAAATGACACTAAACAAAGGAAGTTTTGCTCTCACTTACAAATGTTTAACAGATAAAACAAAACATATAGTTTGATGTTGATATTAAGTAGCCATAGTCTCTATACAAAAGCCATCTGATTGGAATAACATGTTGAACTTTGCAAAGTACCCATGGGGTAGCTTTTTACCATTGCAGGATGATCTTGAGTGTGTTTCTTGATTTCAGATTGAAAATATCGAACTTCCCATGGATACAAAAACAAATGAAAGAAGAGGTTTTTGTTTTATCACATACACAGACGAGGAGCCTGTAAAGAAATTGTTGGAAAGCAGATACCATCAAATTGGTTCTGGGAAGGTAAAGCCATTTTAATTATGTTCAAAGGGAATTTTGAATTTCTTTTTATTAGCAAATAATTTCTCCATCTGTTTTGAGGCTATAATGACTTAACATTAGAACATCAATAACAATGTTTTTTAAAATTTGTCTATAGTGTGAAATCAAAGTTGCCCAACCCAAAGAGGTATATAGGCAGCAACAGCAACAACAAAAAGGAGGCAGAGGTGCTGCAGCTGGTGGACGAGGTGGTGCTAGAGGTCGTGGCCGAGGTGAGAGTTAATTCTTAGGAAATGACTTAATGGTTTAAGCTGTAAACTGCAAAATATGGAGAAGCCAATAGGAAAGTAAAGCAAGACTTAAATTGTCTTTAACATGGAGGATGCCTAATTGGGTGGGTGGGTTTTTGGTTTTACTGAGTTAGTGGTGTCACCTTATCAAAGAATGGGCACTATGACAATGTCATCGCTGATGTGAAAATGCCATTAAATATAGTAAACGGTATGATAGCTTTTTTTGAGCAGGAGTTTTTGCTTCAAAGTTAGACAGTCTCACCTGTCTACCTTTCTTCTGGTTTTCCATTACATTTAAGAAGCCTGATGCTAGCACAGTGCAACTTTCTGCCCATTTTTATAACTGGAATACTTTTGGCAATATAGATACCCATTTGTGTTTTTTTTAAGATTTGCATCATTTGATGTTAGAATTGGGGGGCGGGGGGCGGTCAGAAGTTGTTTCCTGACGATCTTGTGCATTGTTTCAGGTCAGGGCCAAAACTGGAACCAAGGATTTAATAACTATTATGATCAAGGATATGGAAATTACAATAGTGCTTATGGTGGTGATCAAAACTATAGTGGTTATGGCGGCTATGATTATACCGGGTATAACTATGGGAACTATGGATATGGACAGGGATATGCAGACTACAGTGGTAAGAATATTTAACTTAATTTCATAACCAGTCATATTAAAAATCCTATTCTGAAATTTGTTGCTTTTCAATTTATTGAAGTATTTGTAGTTAAATGTTTAAGGCATTTGATAGTCATAGGGTAATTATACTAATGTAGAAACTCTGGTTATAAATGTTTGAGAGTGTGTGATGTATGACTAGTTTATAATCGCTTTTAAAATAACCTGATTATTCTCATATTTGGCATGCACAGTGTTATACATTTAATAATAATACATATAATGAAACCATTTCATTAAAAACTCTTAACATAATTTCTTTCTTGTCAAAATAGGCCAACAGAGCACTTACGGCAAGGCATCTCGAGGGGGTGGCAATCACCAAAACAATTATCAGCCATATTAAAGGAGGGCATTGGAGAAAACAGGTGTGTATAAGAGTACAAGACACCAGTGGAAATGTCTAATTTAATTTAAAGATCAATAGACAAATGAAAAATAAGTAAAAACACTATTACGTAGCCTGTTTTTACTAAGTTGTTAATTTTTAATTGCTTTATTAGCCTGTTTTGCCTAAAGTGTCTATAGATCTTTAACTTTAAAGTTTTACCTCACTTTCTTTAGTATTACAGAAAAACTTTAAAGTTTTTCTGTTTGCTTTGTGTACCAGGTGGTCTAGAGGAATAATTAAACTTTTTTAGAACTATTAACAGGTAAAGTACTGAAATGGGTACAACTTAAGGAAAACACGAATGTTGTCTTCTAACTCTGACATTATACCTTGTTTGTACCCGCCAGCGGGAACTTCATTGCAGGCCGTGTGTCACCCTGACCACGTCTATCTCTGGGGGTCGCACGTTGCGGGCAGAGCGCAAGGCATACACCAGAAAACGCTGTCCTGTGGTATGGTCTCTTCCAACTTCATGTACCAGCGTAAAGATTAAAGTGGAAAACTTCAGACTTTGGCTTCTTTTTTAATCTTTTTGGAGATTAAGTGTCTAAACTTAACTTAAATGGTTTTTTACAGGAGTTAAAGTACATAAATGCCTTTTTACAGCTTAATCATTTTGGTCTTCTGTTTAGTGTTGTATTTCAATTGTGGAGCCTCATTTTAAGTGTTCATTCTTTAAGATTTAATGCTTGCTTTTTCTTTTTATAGCTAATAGTGAAATCTACAAACCAAAACAAGAACTTTAAAATCTGGGATGTGAATTAAAGATCATATGCACACAGCAATTTTTCTTGAAATAATCTTAAAAATTTATATTTATAATAGCATTTTACTTGGTTTACTAGAGATGCTTCTAGTAGACTAATCTAGCACAGTTTAATCTGTGGATGTGGGAAGGTTGCATTCCCAGATTCTCTTCTAAATAAATTTAAATGTGGTATCATTTGGGACCTCCAGGGCAAATTTATTAATTCCCCAAAAAGCATTTTGCCAATTAATATGCATGTGATCTTTAATTATTGAAGAAAAGAATAAAGTGAGGACTTAAGACAATTCATGAAAATGGACCTTTGAAAGCTTGTCAGCGTTGCACAAATCTAATTGCTATTTTGTTTTTATTTTTAGGAGGAGATTGCTAAAGTAACCCATCTTGCAGGACAACATTGAAGATTGGTCTTCTGTTGCTCTAAGATGATTATTTTGTAAAAGACTTTCTAGTGTACAAGACACAAGTGTCCAACTGTATATAGCTGCCAATTAGTTTTCTTTGTTTTTACTTTGTCTTTTGCTATCTGTGTTATGATTCAATGTGGATTTGTGTTTATACAAATTTTATTTGTATGATTTCATGTTAAACCTCAAATAAATGCTTCCTTATGTGATTGTTTTTCTGTGTCAGGTACTAAATAGCTCTGTAAAAGTGGTTTTAAATAAGCAATAATTAAGGCATGGTATATTTTGTAAGGAGTATTGGTCCATAAGGAGGAACTGTGGTCCTTATGAATAGCCAGCTACAGTGTCACCCTGTTGCCCATCTTTGTTAGATGTATTATCTTCTCCCAGTGTTCTTTTCCCTGTTAACTGAGGTGTCATGGATGTCTCCATGTCATAATCACTTGTGATTAGTGGAAGCTTTCTAGTAGACCGTGAGTCTTCTAAGGATTATATTCTGAAGAAAAGTACCCCTTTAATGACACAAAGCATGTTGATAGCTCCTTTTATGAATACTAATAATTTTGCTTTGTTCCTGTCTCTGGAAAGCTGTTTGTTATGATTTGCTAAATAGTCTTAATCTGGTCTGTTACACCTTTAATCATAATACCATGACTTTAATTGTTCTCTTGGTAAGGCCAGATATACCTGGGGGAAGCACTGTTACACTGATAGGAGCTACAGTTTTGAGAGTTACAAAAATAGTTACATTATCACACATGGATTTTGGCAAATAAGTTTGAAGTTATTAAAATTAGAGCAAAAATTAGGTTAAGGTATTTGAAGTAATGGCTATGTAAATTAGTTGCATTCTGTTATATCACAGCAAGCACCAAACCGAACAGTTCTCCATTAGAATATTCTTAAGAAACTATATCAGGTGTTAACTGTTAATGTGGTGTGAAGTCTTAGGAAAAGCCATGGTAGTAGATTTTGTTTTCTAATGCAGTTAGTGCATGAGCTGAGTAGCTAAGCATATCCATATTCAGACATAGGCAGGAATAATGGGAAATGGTATGCTTTTAGTCCCATATTAATGAAAAGCCTAAGTGTGACCATGTCATTAAAACATCTTCCTGGTGCATTCGAAGCAGTTTTTGCTCTAGATTTTGGAGGATTTCTTGGCTAAATCCAAGCTTTGAATTTTACATTAAATGTAGTTACTGGTTTTCTAAATTTGTCTATTGGTTTCATGTTTGCTACTAGGATTGGCATACGTGTTCACATGTGGAATAGTTGACCTTAAAGTGTAAACTTTTTATGCAGTTTTTATTTGGCGCCTGCAACTTTGTTCCAATGATGTTTGTACTTGCTGGGCTATCAAGTTGCAATGCTCTTGGCCTGTTTTGTTCCTGTTTTCCTATTTTGACCTTAAGTCTAGGCCAAGTACTAGTGTTGGCCATTGCAAGGGATTCTGTTTATTCTTTAAACATAACAACCCTAGGAAACAAAAGGGACATTTCATTTTAAGTTACGTTGTCAAAGTAAGTGCAGTGTCTTTAGGGTAGTGAATCCTGTAAGTTGAAGTTTATGATTAGGTGACAAGTTGACACTGAGTTTGTCCTTTCCCTGATCAAAAATGAATAAAGGCTTTTTAAACAAAATCCAAACTCTTCAATCAAGTCTTAATACATATCACTTAAGAAATACACTACATCTAGAGATGACTGACATCTTTTGCAAAGAATTGGAGGGGGAATGAGTATGCTTTTGTGTTTTCACTTATCTAAGGTGCTTTAGACTGAAGTCTGATTTTTGGGCTCTATGAACACCAATATGTAAATTTGAAATAAATATGCCAAGGCTATTACTATAGATGCTTCTGTTACAATGAACAGTAGTATTCAGGTTTCATTGTGAAGTCAGAACTAAGAAAAGTGATTTAACTATTGGGTGGGGGTAGAAATTTTGAAGTACCTATGATAAACATAACTAGCCAACCTGTATATCATGTTAAATATGCTTCCCGAATTGTTTAGATCAAGTTGTGTGTTAACAGAAACATTAGCAATTTTGGATAACATTACTATCCCATAGTCTCACAGCTATGTTTATAATAGGAATATTAAGAATTAAGCTGTCTACTGGACTACCAAACATGGATAAGCACAGGTATTATTTCATTCTCTTCCATGTTATCTTTTTCATAATGGTGACGGGAACTGAACCCTTCACTAATCTTTATTAATTAAAATAGATATCTGAAAAATCACTACCAAGAGTTCATAGGATATCAACTACAAGACACTAGTTGGAAAAGTAATTTGGGACACTGCAGATACATAAACGAGTATTTAGATGTGGGAGATGAGTGTGTGTATCATCTGAATTGATTACTAGCATTAAAATCAGAAAATATCACTATAAAAAAACCCTTCAGACTTTACAGCCTAATAAAATTGTCATTTACTGTGGTCTCAACTTTTTGAGCAGAAGCAATGCAACTTTGTTATTCTTTCATATTGTCATTCAGAAGAGTATTGGCCATAAAAATAGGGGCTGTTCTCTTGAAATAGTCAAATTTAGTGTGGAATTTCAGCAAGTTTTTGTTGAATAACAATTCACATTTGACTTAACCACTTTTTATAAACTGTAGGAAAGAGTACAGTGGTGTCCTGGGGATTACAGGGTAATGCTGAACATTCTGAAGACAAATTGTGTTACTTTAAGTGGCCGTTTAATCTGGTTTTACTCTTAACTAGTATTCATCTAAGAGGTGTATCACTGGGAGGTCTATCATAATCTCGGGATGGTGGGACTGAGGTATAGTTTGAAAACAGTCAACATAATCTGATTTGTTACTTGAAGTCTATGAATTTGAAAAGATAGTACATAAGATTGTGGTTTATCAAAGATCTGCACAAGTTAGAAATACCTGAGAAACACTATCCTTAAGAAGCAGACCTCTTCAGACAAACTCAACAGGTCTATACATAAATATTTAGCCAACCTGTAAAGCTTCAGGGAAATTACAGGCTTTGGAAGCCACCTTGATTCCAAAACTTTGCTTTAGTGGCAAACAATAAAATTTATTGAATTTGCTGTAATTGAAGAGTTACACAAAAGGAGTTCCTTCAGATGGTACTTGGGTATGTGTATTAGCGGGTTAATACTCATATGATGATTGTTCTATTGATCAGGGACAAAAATGGCCAATCTCACAAAAGGCCCTGTGCAGGACCTTGATAAATCCCCTGATTTTTCAAATTGGAGCAGTTAGCTAATTGAAAATACCAGCCCTGGCTGGGTAACACAATTGATTGAAGCATTGTCCCATACACCAAAGGTTGCATGTTCAATCCCCTGTCAGGGTGCATGCGGGAGGCAAGCAATGTTTCTTACATTGATGTTTCCCTCTCTCTAAGTTAAAAGATAAAAAAAATTATAATTCATAAATTTTAAATTGTGTGCCATTTTGAATAGCGTAATAAAATCTGTTGTCCTGCTCTCCCACCCTGGATGTGAATCACCACTTTGTCCAGCATGTCCTTACTGTATATGCTCCCCACCCCTTAGTCACTTTGTAGCTGTCTCAATTACTGGGTCAACTGTCATAGTATCACAGTGCTTGAGTTCAAGTAACTTATTTTAGTTATAATGACTCCAAAGGTCAAGAGTAGTGATGTTGAGAATTCAGATAAGCTAAAGAGAAGCCTTTGGCATACAGTTGTTCCTTCAAGTGAAAAAGTGAACGTTCTAGACTTAAGGGCAGAAAAAAATTGCTGAGTTTGCTAAAATCTATAGTAAGAACCAATCTGTGAAACAAGAAGGAAAGAAAATTCTTGCCAGTTTGCTGGACATTACATTCACACAACTTTTGTTACAGTAGGTTGTTACAATTGTCCTATTTTATCATGTTATTGTTAATCTCTTACCATTTACACATTAAACTTTATCATAGGTAGGTATGTATAGAAAAACATAGCAAATATCAGTTTCAGACTCCACTGGGGTCTTAGAACTATACCCCTCAGATAAAGGAAAACTTCTAGGATGTTAGAACTATATTTATCATGTTGAAGGTAACAAAAAGGCATTTTTGAATATGCATTACTTTCATAACCTGGAAAAAAAGATATTTCAAAATATTTGTGATATGGGTCCAATTACAATTTTTAAAAGTTTTGCACTTGAGGCCCTGACCAGGTCCATAAATAAGTGGAAAAACAAATTGATATTTCTCTCTCAAATCAATAAATAACTTTTTAAATATTGTCTTTGAATAAAAAGACCCCCAAATTGCACTGTTGATCTCATTTAAAACATTTTTTATATATTTTTTAATTATAATCCTTGTAACATATGGCTAGAGCCTGTCAAAACTAAGAATAACTCCATTCTGGACTAGGTCTTCGCTTATTCTTTTTAGGTTATTTTAGTTGCTATCGGCATGATGTTTTAGACACCAAGATGTAGGCACTAACAAAAGTGTTAATTTCTCTGTATTCCCCATCTAAGACAATGACAAATTCAAACATACCATTCCATTTATGATTCTCTGCTGACAGTTTTTTGCTTTTTTTTTTTTTAACATCTTGGATCCCAAGAAAAGAGGGCCATCTTGGCATTGGTTGCAGGTACAGAGATTTGCCACTGACTTAAACTCAAGAACCACAGTATTACCAAGCTAGTACTTGTTTATTAACCTGAATTTTTTTTTTAATTTTGGGTGTAAAATGTGTTCCTTGATGAAATTAAATCATTCTTTTCTTCATTAAGGATGCCAAGAGACAAATTTCTCTCTCTGCCTTTAATAGACTCAATCAAGCACTATTATTTGTTGGTTGGTTGATTTTAGAGAGAAAAACATCAATTTGTTGTTTCACTTATTTATGCATTCATTTGTTGCTTCATGTATGTTCCCTGACTGGAAATCAAACCTGCAACCTTGACATATCAGGATGACACTCTAACCAACTGTGCTACTCAGCCAGAGCCAATCTAGCACTCTTAACCACGAAATATACAGGCATTAATTGCTGCTCTTTTGACAGTTTTCTTAGAAAAGAAACTCTTACTAAGAGTTACGCAAACTCTTAGTATAACTTTAGAAGAATGGTCAGTTTATTAACTCCACTTGTTGCCATGAGAAAGGGGGGAAAAAAGCATTCTGTGAAGATGTCAAAGATTCTCTTGATTCATCATGCCATAAATTGCTAATATCATATCCTGTTCTCTCTTTATTTGCATTATGTATTCACATTTCCATGTATTAGCACAATCCTACATATAGTGTTCACACAGGTGTACATATACTAGGGGGGACCCCCTAACAGAATTATCTTCTGGAGGGCGGGCTCCTTGTAGTACAGTACTTTGAGCAAATATGGATGGCCTGAATAATTCAAACCAATCCTTATGGAGACAAGCAGGATAAAAAAAGTTTTTATAAATCTTTTCTTAAAAAAATGGAAAGAGCCCTAAACAAATACAAAATAATATTGAATTTAAACTGTAATTGAAAAAAAGTTCTCTTGAAAAACAAAAACCCTGAAAGAGCAAGTGAGAGAAAGAGCGAGAGAGAGAGAAATTCACCTGGCTAAAATCTAAGAGAAGGTCAAAACCTAGAAAAGTGAGCCTAGCAACTCAAAGCTGGGTTTTGATGGCCTTGTGGACAAAGGACATCGAAGTCAAAGTGTAGGCCCAACCCCATGTAGAGACTGATAACCCAATTACTCCATCAAAGCCCTTCCAAAGGGCTACATTTTCAAGACAAGAGATAACCCAGGTTCCTCACCTGGGTAGTTAAGGGAACCTCAGTCTCAGAACTTAAGATAGTTCTACAAAGGTTAGGGGCCTCAAGTGCCTGGAAAAAAGAAATGAAGATCATTTCTTCACCCTTGATTTTTGATTGTTTCTACAAAGATTGTTTTCTAACATATGGAAATGTAAAATCACTGTCCAAGGCTCCCTTAAAGCCAGAGCATAAATATATGATTTCAGCTCTATCAGTTGGAGTTCTCCCACATTATATTTTGAGACAGGACCTAGTGAATCAAACTGACTTAGTGTAATCAATGCCAGAACAGATGGCAGCCATGGTAACAGGTACCTTTCCAAAGGAGCAGTGGTGGTAGCAGCAACATCCAGTATCTCATATTGGTGACGTCAATGTTGAAAGCAGCAGTATTTGTGTAGAGCAGAAGCAGCAGTAGAAACGGTGCGTTATGGAGCCAGTTCTGTGATTTTGGAAATAGTTCCTGGATGAGAGTTCCCAAGTGTGGCTGCCCAACTCTCCTGGAGAGTCTGAGGTACTAAAATCATCATTATTAAATTAATTTTTAACCCCCTCCCCAAAAAAACAAGAGCATGGAATGGATAGATAACAGATATTTTAATCAGAAGCACATCCAAACTTTTACTTCTCCATAAAAGCAATAAACACAGTGATAAATTTTCTCAAAATCAATTTTTTCAGAACTCTGGAATTAAAGTCTTGCAACAATGCAAGGAGAATTTCTTTAAAACGCCTAACTCTAGGCAGTGAGCTTTGTGACACTGTCACTTCCCTCTCAGGGAATACAATAAACAATTGTATACCAACAAATTAGGTAACCTAGGTGAAATAGGCAAAGTCCTAGAAAGATAAAAATTACTGAAACTATCTCAACCAGAAATAGAAAAACTGAATCAGTATAGAGATTGAATTATTTATTTATTTTTTAAAAAAACTCCATAAAGGAGAACCCAGGACCAGA